ATCACAACTCTCCTTTGTGCCGACATGAATCGGGGATGCCGCTCGTGCGGGGACGGAAGGTTGAGATGACAAAGATGCCAACTCCGCTCGCATTGAGCTCAATAACTCCGCCTTCAAGTCGAGTACACCTCATCTCGAATCTCCTTCCTAATTTGTTGTTTGAGCGACTCAAACTCTTGCTCATTCAGCTGCCTCAAAGAAGGAGTTGCCACGGGTGGGGCACCAAAGTACTTGTCCGAGGCCCACCCTCGTCCGGCACCACGAACACGTCCAGGATGCTCCGGGGTACCAATGGCCACTGCCAATATATCCCGACGGCCATGTGGGTGGAATGATCCCTGAGTGCTCTGCTCAACCAACTCATCCTACAACACAAACGAATGATTTTTTAGCAAATACAAATGCCTATTGTAGTATAACATATATAATTAGTTTAGGATATGCTACTTACAATACGTTGAGCAACAACATTAGTTTGCTCGGATAAGTAATTCCACGATGAGGTCCGGCGAGCTCTCTTCCATTTATCATGGCGTGAAGGGCGGGTGACGGAACTCACAGCAGAGTCATCCGAAGGTAGACTTGAAGAAGTCTCCTTCGAGCATCTTCTCCTCCAATTTCTCATAACCCCCACGAGACAACTCTGTGGGGGTGGATATTCTTCCTCTCGAATATCCTGTGCCTTACGCCTCTTGGCCTGTTGCATTCCATGTTAAATACCAAATTTAAAACCTCTATTTTAAAAAAATTACGCAAACAAATGACAAATGTGCTAACCTCGAAACCTAGGGTCTAATCGCTGAGTCCGAAATGCTCGCCATGTCTCCTCATCCAAAAGCGATCTTGGTCACATGGGTTCTTGTTGCTCAATGCCCCATATATGTATCGACCGGTCGAGATCACTCTTAAAACCTCTCCAGCGTTCCCCAGGCATATGAGATCCACTTTGTCCTCAACAAAGTGGTGTTAGGGACATCATATGTGACCTACACAATAAAAATAACATGAAGTTCCCAAAAAAGTTAAATATATATACATGTTAAATGCTCAAGTAAGAGTAGGTACCAGGATACTCGCCAAATCTGGTTCTTCGGTGTCTCCGGAACATGGTCCCAATCCTCAATAAGAATACTAACCTTGCTTCTCCCAAGCAAGGCCACATAGCTACTTGAATCTAGCACTTGTGCTCTCCGGTGGCTCTACCGAGTTGCATGTCAAACTCGGATAGGCAATTCCGATCGGAGCTGCGGCCGATATTCAACTCCCTCAATCGTGTAGCACGCCTACCCTTTTTCCTGGTAGACGGCGACTCGATCACCACCTTGTGTAGGAGGGGGACTGTGTAGGAGGAGGGGTACCAAATGAATCTGCCATATCTGTGTTCAAAGAAAAAAATAATAGTTATTAGTTTAGACAATATGACTGAAGATAAATAAAAAAGTGCATACATTAAAAAATAATACATTAAAAAAATTTCATACATTATCAAGTTGGAGCATTCTCCCAAAATCCTTCCATATGGTCATAACGGATGGCATGCACATCATCTATTTCTACATTAACACTCAAGTTTGGCATATTTGAAGAGAAACATGGTGTCTCGGGTATATCAAGTACTAATTCATCATTCTCATCAGAAGTATACATGGGTTTTCCTTGTAGAACCACTGACCATCCTTTGTTAGCGGGATCAACTCCGATCCATTGTTACAAATCTAATTTTCAAAATCAAATTAGCTACAGAAACACGAAATAACTACACTATAATGCCTACACGAAATCCAACTCCACTCTCAAAATAACTACATTATAATACAAATCTAATGTTCAAAATCAAAATCACGAAAGAATGCCCACAGAAACACATTCAAATGACTAAACTACATACAATACATCTCTAAATTAGCTAAAGGCACTCGTGATATTTCCCTCTCTTGACAGCATTATTACTTACTAGATTCAATACTGTAAACCTACATTGGCTAAAGCAAGCACCAAAACTTACCTCTTGAAGACCTACGAGAGGTGGCGGGTGGCGTGACGTGCGGAGCCGGGTGGGGAGAAACGTATCCCGGGCGACGGGCACCGGTAGCGACGGGCGGCACGAAGCGTTGGCGGGTGGCGTGACGAGCAAATGTGGGTGCGGAGAAACGTATACAAGGGAACGGGGAGCTCTGGTATGGGTGAGCTCGATGAAAGGAAATGGAGCGTAGGGAGAAACGTACGGGGAGCTCGCTATGGGGGGAAGTGATGAAATGAAATGGAGCGCGGGAAGAGGGTAAAACGGAAGATACTATGTCGGTTCTTTGTAACACCCGTCATCAAAGACACTTTCTACGTCGGTTAAAATTTACCCGACATAGAAAGTTCACTTTCTACGTCGGGTAAATGTTACCCGACATAGAAAGTTAACTTTCTATGTCGGGTAAATTTTAACCGACGTAAAGTGACCTTTCCACTTACTATGTCGGCTAAAACTTACCCGACATAGAAAGTTTATGATTTTATTACAAAAGTGCCACGCGCACACATACTATGACGGGTGGATTACGACCGTGATAAAAACCCGTCATAGAAAACTATTTTTCCACTAGTATAAAAGAAGGAAAGAATATAAAAGGATAACGAGATAAAATTATTATAAATAAATATATTAAATAATTATTAAATTTGATGATTAAAATAGAATTACAAAAATTAAAAAGAGATTAAAAGAATAAATTTATAAATATATAAATAATTATTAAGTTTAGAGGAACAAAATGATATAAAAGTTTTAGAATTTTAGAAAATTATTTCCTTTTCCTAATAAGTTCTACCAGTGCATATTTACTATATAAATATTATACATGTTCTGCATGTATAAATATTTCTTCTTGTAACAGAACGGTAGTTATAATGCTTAAGAATTAAAACATGTTAGAAAATAATTTAGGCTTAAACAAATTGAATTTGTAGTTAAGGAAATTAAAAAGGTTTTGTTTGAAGAATAAATTAATCAGTTATATAAAGAATGAAATATAAATGATTATGTTCGCATTGAGTAAATGAAATTTCGTAAACATTTGTAAATAATTGGTTATGCAAAACTACTCAATGATTTACTTAAATTCATTGATTATTTGATATTTGATAAATATTGATTTTGTAGAAAATTGAATATTTCTCAAAATATTATTTAAGTATATTTTAATGAATAATATAATTGATTAACATATAAATGGAAAACTTCAATAAGTAAAAATGCACTAAAATAAATATCAATTACTTTAAAAAATACTTAAAAAGTCATTTTTCTATATTATCTATATAAGAGCATTATTGTGTATTGTGAATTTTAAAAGAAACTTGAAGTTTAGAGGGACGTGTCAAAGGTAAATTAGGGGGAAATTGTAAATTTCTTATTTCAGGTATTAATTTGTTTATTCTTGAAGTTTTGTTTGAAGAATATAAGTATTTTGATTGTGAAAATCCCAAATGTATATCACTGTCTGTTATTCAAATAGTTTAAAAATTTTTGTAATTTTTTTCTTCCTTAATTTTTGTTTAATTTTTTTTAATATTGTTATTTGCTTAATATTATAATGACCTTCAACTGCAAAAAAAAATAAAATTAGAATGATTATATATGTCATGTTTACATGAAATGATAATATAATGTTCAATTTATAAGATGCACGTACCTCTCTTTTCCAAGTTATATTGAATAATATTTATATTTTTTATTTTAAAATAAATATTTATTTCTGTATATTTTTAATAAAATGATATTCACATTGTTTTAAAAATTTTAATACATATTTTTATATTCTATTTACAAAAGAAATTTGTTTTTTATTATAATGATTTTAATTTTTTTACATTTTAAATTATTTTTTTTCATAACTTTTATTTAAGTTTTAATCAATATGATATTTTTAGATAAAATAAAGTAAAAGAAATAAAAATCAGTTTATTCAAAGTATAAAAAAATGTGATTATCATTTATTACAATTTTAAAAACTGTCTGTTTAAAAGTTAAAAGAAATATAAATATGATTTTATTAAAAATATAAGAAGATAAATATTATTTTAAAATTAAAAAATGTTAATATAATTTTCCATACTTCTCTTAAGGTAAATGCTATGAAAAAAACTTGTAACATGAAAATTTAAACATAACTTGGTATTTTGGTACAACGTGCCCAAGAAAGTATATTTTTGTTTAAAAAAAATATTAGTTTCTAAAGTGTTTTTTATGTTTTTCTCAAAATAAAATTGATATTTCATATGATAATATACATAATAAAAAGTTCCAATAAAGATTCATAAAAATATCTAAAATATAACTTTCATTTAAAAAAATAAAAAAATACACCACACGTATATATAAAACTACATCCAAGGATTTGTTAAATATAAAATATTCGCAAATAACTATTTCAGCTCCTTCTTTAATATTTGTAAAGAATTCAAAAAATCAATTTACCCAAAATTAATCTCATTAATATCTCCTGATTTCGCTTACTAATTATGGAGCTTAAAATATGACTAATAATTAAGATTATTTGCCCAAGAAAATAATGACTGCATGGATATTATATATTAACTCTGTAAAAAGAATCAAATTAAACATGTAGTTTAGTTTTGGTTTAAAAAAAAATTTATTTGAAAAAAAAAACTCATAATTAAAGCTATTGGTTGTAGAAAAGATTGACACAAAAAAAAGATTGAAATTTAGCTCTTACTAAAAAGAGGAATTTGTTTGAAAATGTTGTCCAATAGAGTCAATCGCCGCCATCAATATCAGTCGACCTCCTCTGTGAATGAGAGTATCGGAGAAGACATTCAATCAATTTGTTTTTTGTTGGGCAAGGAGTGGAGGACACCACATTCATTCATTCATTCTTTTTTGTTTCTCTGTTCAACCATCCTCACTCTGTTTTCTTTCCTCCGCAAAAGTTTGACTCCGGAGCTGTTTCACCCTTTTTAACCTTCGCCGCAAACTCATCTTAACTCTAATGGACTCATCACCAGAACAAGAACAGCCACGCAAGGGGAAACACAGGTTGCCGCCAAAATCAGTTTTCCTCTACTTCTCCTTCTTTCTCTTCATTTTCTTCTTCTGCTCCTCAAACCACTCTTTTTACTCTCACCCCTCCCTCCCTTCCTCTACTTTCGCCACCCCTTTTCCTCTCACCCTCCCAATACCCCTCCACGTGCACCACCGTATTATCTTTCCCGATCACCTTCTTCTCACACTCTCTCACCCCGAAATTCTCCCTTCTCACCAGCTCCACTGCGTCTACTACACCCTCCTCAACGCTTCAACCAATCCGCTTCTCCTCCCGCTTCTCTCCACCGACCGCTACGATGAATTCCGCTCCATAGCGCGCTGTCCGCTTCCAGGTACAAATTTCTCCGCCGTCGATTTGAGCTGGCGGGGCGAGAATGATCACCGAGACTTCCAAGTCCCGATGAAAGCAACGCCTCACAACTGGGAAAACTTGACGTACGAGGCCTTTCTAGACAACGACACCGTGGTGGTGTTCGTTAAAGGACTGAACCTCCGACCGCACAGGGTTTCCGACGCGAGCTTATTCCGGTGTCACTTCGGGGTACGAAACGAGGCATTTTGGTTAACCTCGAAAGCGGTCTCGGCGGCTCAGGAAGTCGTGCGGTGCGCGTTGCCGCAGAGTATTCGGAACAGCCCCGACAAGGCTCGCGGACTAAGCATCAGCGTGAGTCACGTGCGGCGGCGCGAGGTTGCCATCCCCTCCGTGGCGAGAATTGGCGGAGGTGAAAAAACAAGCACGGGGAAGGAGAAAAGGTTTGAACTGTGCGCGTGCACGATGGTGTGGAACCAGGCAGGTTCGATGCGGGAGTGGGTTATGTACCACGCATGGCTGGGCGTGGAGCGGTGGTTTATTTACGATAACAACAGCGACGATGGGATTGATGAGGTGGTAAGAGAGCTTGAGGATAAAGGGTACAACATTAGCAGAGTTACATGGCCTTGGGTTAAAAGCCAAGAAGCAGGGTTTTCGCATTGTGTGCTGAGAGCGAAAGAGGAGTGCAAGTGGGTGGGGTTCTTTGACGTGGACGAGTTTTTCTACTTCTACAAGATGCAACGGAATGTTCTGAGATCAATGGTGGCGAATTTCTCGTCGTCGAACTCAGTTGCAGAGATAAGGACAGGGTGTCATAATTTCGGTCCTTCCGGACTAACGACCCACCCTAAACAGGGAGTGGCCGTAGGGTACACCTGCCGGCTTAGGACTCCCGAAAGACACAAGTCAATTGTACGGCCTGATTTGGTTGACGTTAGTCTTTTGAACGTGGTGCATCATTTTGAAGTGAGGAAAGGGTTTGGATCCCGTAACGTGCCTCTTTCTGTTGCGGTTATAAATCACTATAAGTACCAAGTGTGGGACACGTTTAAGGCAAAGTTCTTGAGAAGGGTTGCTACCTATGTTGTGGATTGGAAAGAGGATGTGAACATTGGATCCAGGGACAGAGCGCCTGGACTGGGAACACAAGCAATTGAACCACGGGATTGGAGATTGAGATTTTGTGAGGTGTGGGACACTCGTCTCAAGGACTTTCTTCTTTCTAAGTTTTGTGACCCCCTAACGGGGTTGTTACCCTGGGAAAGCTCTTCGGAATAGTGTCCTCACCAGCAACAGGGTATAACTACTCTCTTTTTTTTTTTTTTCTCATTACTTAATTATTATTACACGACTTTCTTAAGAGTTATCATGACACGTGAAATATAAGATTAGATTAGTGGATGACCGCAATGTAACCTCCATTTTCCAACAAAAATTGTTACAGATGAGGTCAGAAAAAGGAACAGTGTACATCATTTATAGGACGATTAATTATACACGCCCACGGAGCTTATTAATGTTATTTATTTATGACTATTACAAAGTGGAAAAAAATCTGCTAGAAAAAAAGGAACGAAAGGCGCATGGGATGATGGGATAATTTGGCGAGTTAACCTTGAACACAGCTGGGAGTTCAAGAATTCCTTTCTACAAGAGGTATAAATAAAGTAACATCTGGGAAGGAATATCCAAAATTAGGTATATTTTTGTATTTCATAATTTATAAATAACAGACTATATATTGTCGTGGTAGTACTTAATGTCGAGTAACAGAAATTTGACATCTTTAATGGACTTCAATTGGTCCTTGGAAACAAAAGGGTACCTACAAGCACTAACCAAAGCTTGCAGCAATCGATACCAATGGTTTGTGGTTGTGGATGCTTGTTACCCTTGACCAATGATGTCTTTGTGGAAAAATGTTGAAACGTAATTGATACCTTGTATTAACTAGACTGTCTGATATACGATGTATTTATAGTTTTAACTGCGGTTTACAATACAGTAATTGCGGAGTTTTATGCAACCACAACGGTCCGCTACTGTTAAATGATTTTCCATATCACAAATTGCTCCGACAGTTACGGTGAAACCGTAACGCTGTACTATTTTATTTCATCAAAAAAAAAAACTGTTTTAATACAAAATAAAAGTCGTCTATTAACTTCTAATGAAGATATTTATTTTGGGTGTTTAAGAGATTCATTCATCTTATTATTTTACAAAAATAATACAAAATAAAAGTCGTCTATTTACTCAAGATTTTAAAGTTAAACACAATAACACAACAGCATTCCAACCAAATTGTTAATATGACATCATCTTATTTTTCTAATATATAATATTTAGAAATGATCCGTTACTTTTATTTAGTTTTACAAAAATATACTCTTTATTATCTAAAAAAAATGTAAAGTGTATCATTAAGTGAGGTGAGATGTAAAAAATGTGTCACAAAATCAAGTGTTCATACATCAGTATCAGGGTCATTTCTCAAGGTATATGAAAAGGCATTATTCATGGCTAATATAACTATGATTTAATTTTCCACCTTTCCCTCACTTCTATCGTCTAAAACAATTCCTGCACAAGTTTATCATTCATTTGTGTTGCCTGCGGCCTTCATCTTCTCTACCTCTGCCTTACAAAAATTAGCCAACTCAAGAACAAGATCCGCGTCGTCCTGCAAAACTTCAAATGTTGATGCAACTGGAACGTGTAGGAACTGTGTGATACACAAATGCCTTGAATTTAACAATGTTTTACCTCTGTCTTGCCCCTGAAATTTTTGTCTTCTGAAAATCCAACATGCTTTTTCCTTTTCTGTGGTGGTTGTTCATCCTCACATGAAAGTGTGATTTCACATTCCTTTGGCAACAAGGCATTAAATCCCAAAAGTAAATCTCCATGTCCTTTGAATAGCTCCTTCATCCTTTCCATGGCAATCACCACATCAATTCTACAATAGAGACACAATTAATTCAAGATGCCTCTTCCAATACAACAACAATAAAGATGTAGATTTTTGGAAGAGAAGGGGACATAAGTTCCCTGTGATATGCTGTGAACTAACCTTTGATTCCCGTAATCATTCATTATGTCCAAAAAGTGTACGTACTTTTCTTTCTCATCTCCTAATGTATACTTTACTGCGTTGGCAAATGCTATTACATCATCTTTGGTTGCTGCTTTTTTTAATCTACAAAATTTCAGGACAGTTTTGTAAATGGAGAAGTTGACAAGATACAAATATTATCATATTAAAAGAAACTAGAGAAAGAACAACATCTGACTACAGATTAGAAGAGAGAAAACATTGTCAATGTATGGTGAGGAAAAAAAAGAAGAAATTACCAAACAACAATCGTAGCCACGTTAAACCAAAAAACGTACAAGAAAACCACAGTTAAACTAAACTAAAATGCAGCTACTTCATGATGCATGAAATTGAAAACAGAAGAAAACAATAAAGAATCAAGATAAATATTTGCTGAGTCACATTATAATTAATATTTTTAACACGTGAAGATGTTCGAATATACACACAAATGCGTTAAATTTAACAACGTTCACTACAAGAAAAATCGCTTTTAGCGACCGAAAAAATCGGTCGCTAATGGCCAAAATTCGGTCATTATTCTGTTAGCGACTGAAATTAGCGACCGAAATGGTTGGTCGCAAAAGGGCAAGTCGCTAAGTTGTTAGCGACCGATTTACATTTCGATCGCTAAATAGCGACCGATCTGGTGGTCGCTAAAGTGGTCGCTAAATAATTTGGTCACTTATTCATTGGAGACCAAAATAGCGACCGAATTAAGTGGTCACTAAATCGGTCGCTAAATTCGTGGTAAAGTTTTAAAAAATAGCGACCAATATATTCGGTCGCTAATATATTAATATAATTATTTAAATAATAATTAAAATCGGTCGCTAAATCGGTCGCTAAATTGGAGACAAAGTTAAAAATAATAGCGACGGATATAATCGGTTGCTAATATATTAATTGAATTATTTAAATAATAATTTAAATCGGTCGCTAAATTTGAATTGTATATTATAATAAATTTGTAACGACCAAAAATTTGATCGCTAAATCAGTCGCTAAATTAATAACAAAGTTAATTATTTTTATTTATTTACATTTTTAATTATATCAAGTTCATTAGACAACTTTTTTTCTCCAATTGGACACAATTGTATTACATAATGAATGCTTAGTAGTTAGTAGTTAAGATGCATTTTCATCCATGAAATGTGGACCAATTGGTAAAAACAATAATAAATTAATAATAAGATGACCTGAATAGATATTGGTGCATCCATATTTAAATTACTTTTTCCATTCCACTATCACTGGGATATAAGTCTTGATCATGAACCAGAACTAGAGGTTTATTCCACAATTGAAGACTTCAAGCAACAGTTATACCAACATGGAATACATGTCAAGGGAACACAGATATATGACGAAGGGATCAGCGAGTTAGAGGACCTCCAAAAAGGTGGAGAAGTTTGCATGAATTTTTCTTGAATGCTTGGGAAAGGTATATAAGGAAACCTTTTGATTCAGATACATTAAAATTTAAAATACTTCATGAACAAGTGATGGCTAGGAAAATTTAAGCTAACTGAAATAATATGCATGTTCGCACCATGCTCCATCTTTTGATGATCTTGCTTCAAATTCCAACTCGATGGATCTCGCATAACTTCGTAAAACAATCAGTCCAGGTACAATCTCACAAGATAACTCATTTTATTAGAAGTTTCCTCAAATATATCAATAAATACAACTGTAGCGAGCTAGCTATACAAAAATAGAAGGAAAATAGAAAGTCAAAAAAAATTTATGGTGGGAATGTTATTATCACTTTCATGTTCCTTCATTACGCCAAGTTATTCCTCATCTTCATATCATATTATCTTCTACCAAACATGTTCCTAATAACATAAAACAAGCTTAACGTAAAAGTCATCACTTAAGCAACAATGGTAGACACTGCAATTATATTAAATAATTCAATGTTAAATATTTGAATATGTGATGACAGACAGCATAGACACGAGAGACACAAAATAAAATAGGCAACCTACCATAACTCAAGTAGCAATGAAAAACACTGCAATTATATTAAATAAATCTAATGTTGACCATTTGAATACTTGAAGACAACATAATAACTTACTATGCTAAGAACCATAAGGTCCACCAGAAGACTCACCTTCCTTACATTTAGGAACCATCAACTCACTGTTAGGGACTAGTGCTAAGTCTTGGAGCCTAGCCTGAAACCAACTTTCAATCTAGAATTTCTCCAAAATAAAGGATTAATTAAAAACTACATAAAAAAAGGCACAACCATCTAAGAATATAGGAAAAGGAAAACAGCAATATTTGAAGGATGCCGCACAGGAACCCACGGAAATAAAATACATGAGTTAGTGAGAAAGAACATTAACCTCTGTCCATTTTATAACAGGCTTCCCAGCACGACCCGAGGAACTGCACAAACATCACATTCCAACACTCCTCAATGACAATATTTCTTCTATTACTGGAAAATAACCTAACAACCAGTGAAAAGCAGAACTCACTTGAAACTTCCAGCAAGTTTTTGGTAGAATTCTCTGTCCAATGATCCTCCCTTAGGTTCCTTCAAGAAATTCTCCATTTTCTCAATCTGTTTGTCAGAGCACAAGTTCAAATCATTAACAGGACATAAGACACCTTCTGCATTCTATAACCAAGGTTTTAAAAAATGGTATGCAATCAAGGTTTTTAGACTGTCCACAACTAACCAGTTTAAACCAGACCCACACACAATTCATCCTTAACCAAGGAGAACAATCCACAATAAAAAGGCATAAAAGAAATAGAACATAGCAGCAAAATGTGAACCGAAGCGCTTGACCCGCGACCCCTCTGACTCACCTCTAGTTCGCGGGGAACTCAATGGCACGATTGGGGCAACTGAGGCGTGGAAAGACCTTGATGGTGGAGGTTAGGTTGAGATTTAGGGATGGCCACGATGGTGGCCAGGGAGGCGGTGGTGATGACTGGGGTGGAGGTTGGATTAGGGTGAGGGCTGACTTGGGGGGAGCAGTGAGGGGGCTAGGGCTCGCCGGGAGTGAGGAGGAGATACTGGCCAAGGTTAAGAGGAATGGGTGAGTGAGGCGCGAGAGTTAGGGTTATTTGGGGATAAGTGGCACGAGACAGGGAATTGAAAAATGTGGTTGTATATAATAGCGGTTAAACCTTATCCGCTATTATAATAGCACTTCTAATAGCGGTTAAATCTTAACCGCTATTAGATAGCACGTCTAATAGCGGTTAAATCTTAACCGCTATTATATATATTCAAATATGATCGATCATTTAAAAATGTAATCGATCATAACCAAAAAATGTGGATTTCGCTCGAGCGAGGCACTGTCGCTCAAGCGAAAATCAACCCGAGAATGCCAATTTTGTTCATGTAGCGTCGCTCGAGCGAGACCAGTGTCGCTCAAGCGAAATTACACCCGAGACTTCACAATCTTAAATACGGTTGTATATGATAGCGGTTCCACAGGAACCGCTCTTAAATGGGAACTTCTAATAGCGTTTAAACCTTAACCGCTATCTTACATGCACTTAAGATAGCGGTTAAGGTGGAACCGCTATCTAATCCTCTCAACTATGATCGTTCATTTCATATTATGATCGATTATAATCACAACTTACATTAACTATTTTCTTGAATATTATGTTTTTAAATTTGCTATTAGAGAAAACCTTTCAGAATTCAAAATGTTAAATACTTTTAAATATTATAATTAACTTTATCAAAAATTAGGAAAAAAAAATCCAAAAGAGTTCAAAAATGTATTATAATATTCTCAATTTTGAGTTTAATTATATTGTTCATTCTCAAAGTAGAAAATTATATTGTATTTATTTTAATTTAATAAAATATAATTTAAATTTTTAATACTAAAATTAAAAGATTAAATAATAATGAATTTAATTCTTTAAATTGAGTATTTAGAAAGTCAAATTATAGTTTCTCTGTTTTAAATAATTAAAATAAATAGTTAAAAATAAAAATCAAGACTAGTATTATCTTCAATTTATTAAAAGTGTAATCAAATCTCTATTTGCTTAGTTTTTTTTGTTTCAAACTTCTCAATTCTACATTTTTGTAACTTCTATCATTATATTATCATCCTCATCTCCTCCCATGTTCAACTTTATCTTTACAATAGTTAATATTCTTAAATAATCTATATTTTTAATTATAATTTTTGAATATATATTTCAGAAATTAATCAATTCTAATCTATTATTTGAAAAACTAATCAATTCTAATCAATAATTTACAAAACTAATCGATTATAATTAATTCTTTGAAAAAATTAGCAAATATGATCGATCATTTTGAAAATCTGATCGATCAGAGTCAAAATCTTGTTGTATATGATAGCGGCTCCAATGGAACCGCTATTATATGCTCACGTTTAAGAGCGGTTAAAATATTAACCGCTCTTAAAAGTGCCAATGTCGCTCGAGCGAGTCCAATTTTGCTCAAGCGAAATACAACCCGAGAATGCCAATACCAGGGCTACGTCCAGTCTCCAGGCAAATTCCAGCTGGGTTCCACTAGATCAAATGTTTTACAGATTTACAATCTTACACTTAATCTACCACAAGAACCAAATTCCAGTTCCTGCAGTCAACCTCTCACCAAGAACCAAATTCCAGTTCTTGATAACCTCTACAACCAAATTCCAGCTGCAGAGAAACTAGTGCCCAAATTCCAGGCACCAAACAATACAAAAAGAATGTAAAGAAATGAAAAAGAAGAAACTAGAATGCTCAAACCAGTGTATGCAATTCTGCTGTAAGTGTTTCTTCTTCAAATGAAATCAAGTTGCCTCAAGAAAGATTTTCAAAGAACTTCTCAAAAACTGACGCGAATCTTTCTTGAAAAGAGTGCTAAAGTTTGCTTGATTGATTGCTCAAGGATGTGTAAAAACTTATGTGTAAAAAGTTCAAGCAACTCTGTTTTTATAGAAGATTTTCAAAACAGCTGTATTAATTAATCTGTTAAAAGATTCTTTTAATCTGTTAAAAGTGCAGTTTTAATCTGTTAAAACTTCTTTTAATCCATTAATACGTTCTTGATTCTTTAACAGATTTGTTTTAACTGATACGACAACGTTTATATCAATTAAAACACTTTACAAAAAATTTTCTAAGTTGATTTAATCGATTGTTTCTCGATTCAATCGATTGAAATACTTGCAAA